GTTCACTCCTCCCATGCAGAGGAAAAGAATAATGAATAAGATTACAGAGTATGTATGGATTTCCCACTGCATCTGGGGGAATACCTCAGTACCTCTGCAGCAGATGTCACTGTTTCTATAGTTTAGATAAGAATAGAGTGGCACACATGTAGGGTGCGAGGAATGGCTCATTTTGGAAAGTGGTAAAAGAAAAATTGTTTAGCTGATTTCTAATTTGYTGCTTTTATGAAGCGATGCAAATTAATCAGGTGGAAGAATTATTTGATCTGATAYCTATTATCTTAACAAAAGAAAACACAGATTTTTTATTTGATGGTGAATAATTTTAGAGACAGCAATATATGAGGTATCAGGACAATGATCTCCTCTTTCAGACTTTCAATATGAGCAGAAAAAGCAAAAAAAACTTTGATGATGGAGTTTTTTATTAATAAACTACACTGAAAAGAAATACTCCCTCTTACTTCAAGATTTTGTAGTTTAATAGACATAAATTGTACATTATACCTTCAAATATGGCACAATTTGAAAAGGTACACAGACAAATTTTGTTTATAGCATCCACATGAAAGAGCAGARGAAAAATGAAGACGAAAAATGAAAAGTTATCAGAAAAAAATGGAAAATCCATCTAACAATATTAGGTGTGTGTCCCTTAGTTTCTGAAGCTCAACATATATTTCTATAATAACATTTGTAACACCATTAGTCAAAGACTAATCAGTTTCATTGACATTAATTCATAATCTCATGCCATTCTAGTATAGATTTTCAATCACTTAAACAGCTACAGATTGAAATACCTAATCTGCAACAGGAGATTTTCTTAGTGGTTAACGCAGTCAAATTTTAAATCGCTAGTTACAAGGACTAGTTTAGGACTCTGTTTGACGACCACYRGCTAGTGGAGCATGGTGGAAACCACCTCACCAAGAAGGGCAGGCGGGTATTTGCCAAAAGGCTGGCCAATSTCATTAGGAGAGCTTTAAACTAAGCAGGAAGCGGGAGGGGGAGTGTCATATGGACTGGGGAATCAATCCTGTAAAACCTAAGYCAATGGATATCCAACAGGCCTRYGGTRGTGGGGAAGTACRKCTAGGGCATGATTATAGAGGATCCTCTCTCATGCCTCTTGGGAAAAGTTTAGCCTCGATTACCTGCCTGAAATGCTTATACACCAATGCACGAAGCATGGGGAATAAGCAAGACGAGCTGGAGATCTGTGTGCGGTCCCAGCACCACGATCTCATAGGAATCACAGAAACRWGGTGGGATAGCTCTAACGACTGGAGCGCTGTCATGGAGGGCTATGTGCTCTTTAGGGAAGGACAGGCTGGGAAGGCGAGGTGGTGGAGTTGCTCTGTATGTGAGAGAGCAACTGGAATGCATGGAGCTCAGCCTGAGAGTGGATGATGAACAGGTGGAGAGCTTGTGGGTAAGGGTTAAAGGGCAGGCCAACGTGGGAGACACTGTGGTGGGTGTCTGCTACAGGCCACCTGACCAGGAGGAGGCGGCTGATGAGGCCTTCTACAGGCAGCTGGARGTTGCCTCACGGTCGCAGGCCCTGGTTCTCATGGGGGACTTTAACTACCCYGACATCAGCTGGAGAGACRGCACAGCGAGGCACAAACGGTCCTGGAGGTTTCTGCAGTGCGTCGATGACAACTTTTTGACGCAGGTTGTTGAGGAGCCGACGAGGAGAGGTGGGCTGCTGGACCTCATGMTAACAARCAGAGAGGGCCTTGTTGGAGATGTGAAGGTGGGGGGTAACCTTGGCTGCAGTGACCACGAGCTGGTGGAGTTCAGGATCCAATGAGGAAGAGGCAGGGCAGTAAGTAGCCTTGCCACGCTGGACTTCAGGAGAGCCAACTTTAGCCTCTTCAGAGACCTGCTGGGAAAGATCCCATGGGCTAGGGCTCTTGAAGGAAGAGGGGCCCAGGAGAGCTGGTTGTTTTCAAACAGCATTTCCTCCATGCCCAGCAACAGCGCATCCATGTGCGCAAGAAGTCAGGCAGAGGGGGAAGGAGACCTGTGTGGATGAGCAGGGAGCCCCTGGCAAAACTCCAGCAGAAAAAAAAGCAATATATAGAGTGTGGAAGAAAGGACAGGCCCCTTGGGAGAAATACAGGAACGTTGTCAGGGAATGCAGGGATGCAACAAGGAAAGCTAAGGCACAACTGGAATTAAATCTGGCAYGGGATGTTAAGAGTAACAAGAAAAACTTCTTCAAATATATCAACAACAAAAGGAAGGTCAGGGAGAACGTGGGTCCACTGGTGAACGGGGTGGATACCCTGGTTACGAAAAACACGGACAAAGCAGAGCTGCTGCAGGCCACCTTTGCTTCTGTGTTTGTCAGGGGCAGCCCTCTAGAATCCCAGGCSCTAGGGACACAAGAAGTGAGCTGGAGAGAGGAAGGCTTGCCCTGKGTAGAGGAAGAGTGGGTCAGAGAGCACCTAAGGAAACTCGACACCCACAAATCCATGGGCCCTGATGGGATGCACCCCAGAGTGTTGCGGGAAMTGGCGGATGTCCTAGCCAAGCTGCTCGCCATCATCTTTGGSAGGTCCTGGAGAACRGGGGAGGTGCCGGAGGACTGGAAGAAAGCCAACATCACTCCRGTCTTCAAAAAAGGCAAGAAGGAGGACCCGAGTAACTACARGCCGATGAGCCTCACCTCCATCYCCGGGAAAGTGATGGAGCAGCTCATCCTGGMTGCCCTCTCCAGACACATGGAGGAGAAGAAGGTTCTCGGGAGTAGCCAGCATGGATTCACCAAGGGGAAATCCTGCTTGACTAACCTGATCACCTTCTATGAAGGAATATCTAGCTGGACAGATGAGGGCAGAGCGGTAGATGTGGTCTATCTGGACTTGAGCAAAGCTTTTGACACCTTCCCTCACAGCATCCTCCTRGGCAAGCTCCAAAGGTGTGGGATAGATGTGTGGATGGGGAGGTGGATTAGGAATTGGCTAGGTGGCAGGGTGCAGAGAGTGGTTGTCAATGGTGCGGAGTCCAGCTGGAGGCCTGTACTTAGTGGTGTCCCCCAGGGGTCRGTYCTCGGTCCRGTSCTGTTCRACTTATTCATTAAYGACCTGGATGAAGGGCTGGAGTGCTCCCTCAGCAAGGATGRTACCAAACTGGSTGGAGTAGCTGATAGCCCTGAGGGCTGTGCTGCCATSCAGAGGGACSTGGACAGRCTGGAGGACTGGGCGGTGAGAAACCTCATGAGGTTCAACAGGGGCAAGTGCAGGGTCCTGCACTTGGGGAGGAATRACCSTGRAYACCAGTACAGATTAGGGGTGGACCTRCTGGAGAGCAGYCCYGCAGAGAGGGACCTGGGTGTCATGGTGGACRACAAATTGACCATGAGACAGCASTGTGCCCTGGTGGCCAAGAAGGCCAATGGGATCCTGGAGTGCATTAAGAAAAGCGTCTCCAGCAGGTCAAGGGAAGTGATCATCCCCCTCTACTCAGCCCTGGTGAGGCCACATCTGGAGTACTGC